GCAAAGCCCTGCCCCTTTGGGAAACGCATGTGGGTTTCATTGGCCTGGCGGTAAAACAGGGGCCACCGTACGAGCCACCACCTCATTAACTAGACATTTCCAATAGCTTCACGTCCGGTAGCTTCATCCCCCTTTTGCAAATGAGGAAACTAAGGCCCGTGAGACCAGGCCGGCTGAAAGGCCCCGGGACCAGAATCGAGGTGCAGCCTGAATGAGACTGCTTTTCCTTCTGCGCTGTGAGATACGCATTTCAGGATTAAAACTGAGGATCCCATTCTTGAGATGATTCATGTCTGTGTTACTCGGGCTGGGAGGTGTGCACGTGTGCTGGGTGGCCAGGGAGGAGAGTGCTTGGCAATGCTCCAGAGAAGAAGTGGCACATTTTCCCGGAACACCAATGACACAGTATCGGAATATAAAAAGAGACACAGAGTGGAATGAAAAATGTTCTGGTGTCGAATGCTACATGTACGTGCATTTTTGAAGGAGAAACCCAGGCCTTGGAGACAGTTCTCCGCAGTCCTCGGATGTCTCTCATCGCCCCACATTTACTTCTCTGCCTCAGGGTTGCTGGGTGGAGGTTTGGAACAGCGCTTCCTTAAGTGCAAGTCCGGGGCCATCTGGCCCTTTCCACTCTCCCAGCTATATGTGGTGAAAAGGAATTTCTGAACTATGTCAGCCAGCGTGGGAGAGTTGGCGCCGCTCTCTGTTTGTACAGCTGCTCCCTGGGCTCGGGGCTGCTATCTTTCAGGCCGCGCGTATCTGTGAAGGTGCCGGGAAGGGCTTCTGGGGGCTGGAGGAGGTAAGCACGGGGCAGGGGAGGTGGTTGTCCTCCAGGTACATGCCTGTGGCCATGGAGAGTCACATTTTTCAAAGAAAACAATATATTTTAAAAAAATTTGATATCTGTTAAATTTCCATAGTTCAAAAGTCATGAGAGGGTTTGCAATGGAATCCCTGCCTCTACTTCTTTCCATAACCCCAATCCCTCCCTCACACCAGTCAGTCAGTGTTACTTGTGTAGCCAAGTACATACATCTCTAGCCCTCCTACTCCCTTCTTATACAAACAGGAGTATGCCATGTGTCATAGTCTGTTTCTTGCATTTTTTTCACTTTCTTTTCCTTTTTTTTTTAATCACACTAATATAACATGTAGCTAATGCCTGATTAATTGGCATTTAGTTGTTTTCAATCTTTTGCTCTTATGGTGCTGCAATTAATAACCTTTTTTATATGTCCTTTTGCACACGTGTAGGATGAGTGTTAGAGGAAACGTTGCTGGGTCGGAGAGAATGCACATTATCGTTTTAATGGATGCTAACAACCTGCCCTCTGGGAGCGCGTATCAGTTCCTGGCCCCAGAGCAGGGCCTGAGAGAACCTGCCTCCTTACACCACCCACACACTGTTACCCAGCCTTTGGCCTTGACTGTCGGGTGGGTGCAGAAGTGATTTCAGTGCAATTGTAGGGGATGGTCTGACCTTGACAAACCGTGGAACACAGCACATCTGCTGCTTTCGCCTCCGCGGTGCCGACCCAGTGAAGTGCCTTCAGCCTTTTAGAATAAGTGGCAGAGGGATTGAAATTACTGTTTCTTAACTACTTATGACTGAATAATAGTTAAAATGTTAAAAAGTAAATCAATGTAATCCTTTTAAAAATAGGTATCACATAGGCGACATGACACGCTAAATGGGTGGTTAGAAACTGTGTGCTTCTTATGATGGAACCTCCTCTCGAGTCTCAGGACAGGCAGGACTTAAGATCAAAGAATCACTGAAGTGCAGCGCCAGCAGCTTAAGTGAGGTCAGCGGCTGTCCCCAGTGACCTCCTGTCCGAGTGGATCTTGACCAGCTCTGGCCTTGGTGGCCTTCCGCTGCCTTTGCCACATTCATGAGACACATTGTAAGCATCTGGAAAAGACGGCGCATAGATCAAAGTTCCAAGTTGCAAGGGCTTTTGGAGATCCTCTCAGCCAGGTTTCTTTTCACTGGGAAGTCGTGGAATAGAATTGCTTGGGGGACTTGCCTTGAACAAAGGGATATGGTTTTGTTTTGTTTTTTTTTTAATATATTTTATTGATTTTTTACAGAGAGGAAGGGAGAGGGATAGAGAGTTAGAAACATCGATGAGAGAGAAACATCGATCAGCTGCCTCCTGCACACCTCCCACTGGGGATGTGCCCGCAACCAAGGTACATGCCCTTGACCGGAATCGAACCTGGGACCCTTCAGTCCGCAGGCTGACGCTCTATCCACTGAGCCAAACCAGTCAGGGCAAAGGGATATGGTTTTGAGGTTTTTAGATTCCAGGACTGCTGCAGGTGAGTCAGGGATGGTTTCAGAAAGAGGAAGTTTGTCCTCTGGGCTTTATATAAAATAGTGGACTGGGTGCATGTGGCAGGGTGGGGACAGGGAAGGGGTTCGGGAAAGGACTGTCAACAGAGGCTTAAGTTAATTTATTTGTAAACATAATGTGGTCTACCGCACTATGAAGGCACAAAGAAAAACGTGTTACAAACGGGACTGAGCATCTGAACACACACAAGCTCCTGCTCGCTTGCCCTGTGGAGCTGGGAGCTGGGAGCTGGGACTGGAGCCGACCCCTGTTGGTCACACTGAGGGATCTTCTTGCCTGCTCAGTCCTCTCAGGATCAGAATGTGTCCCACAACTTTCAAACTGAAAATACCAAGTTCTAAACATCAAAACACAGCATGAGCTCCTTTGTCTAGTGTGTCAGGGTGCCAGTTAGGCCCCAGTCCAGGTTAAACCAGATCCTGTTTTGTGTCCTTGTCCTGTTCTTGTAGTTTTAGGTCTGTGTTCTTGTACATTTAGGTCTGTGGTCCATTTTGAGTTAGTTTTTGTGTTTGGTGTAAGGAAGAGGTCTGATTTTTTTCTTTCTTTTGCACATGGATATATATATCCATTTGTCCTAGCAGCATTTGTTGAAGACTGTTTTTTCCCCATTGAATTGTCTTAGCCCCTTTGTTGAAAATCGGTTGATTTGAGGATGTATTTTGGGGCTCCCAATTCTATCCCATTGATCTATACGTGTATCCTTTCGCCAGTACTACCCAGTCTTGATAACTGTAGCTTTGTAGTGTCTTATCTTCTAACTAGAGTCCTGGTGCACAGATTCGTGCACCGGTGGGGTCCCTCAGCCTGGCCTGCACCCTCTCACAATCCAGGACCCCTTGGGGGATGTCGGAGAGCTGGTTTTGGCCCGATCCCTGCAGGCCAGGCCAAGGGACCCTAGTATGCATATAAGATCTTTGGTTAATCTCTTCCCACCCTCCCCCCTCCCCCTTCCCTCTGAGATTGTTTCATCAGTCTGTTCCATGTTTCCATGCCTGTGGTTTCCGTTCCTGTGTTGAGCGTCTGCCCCCTGGTGGTCAGTGCGCATCATAGCTACCAGACGGTCAGACAGTTGCTTAGGCTTTTATATATATAGATGGGAAAATTAGGGCAGGAATGGGCATTCTGACTTTTTCTTTCCCTGGTCTGACCAGTTATTGGATTCCTTAGATCCCTCTTCAAGCTTTCTGCCACACGTTGCTTCTCCTCGTCCATCTTGTTGGTTTAAGTAGGAGATGATATCCAAGAAGTGCCGAGAAATCTCAGCTGCTGGGCCCCTGAGTTCTCCTTGCCATGTCCGCTAACTGTGTTCTGACTCAGTAGAATGTATAGAACTGAACATTTGGGTTGTGAAAAGATGCAGTGGTTTCTGAAACTCTCTACTTGGTTAAGTTCTGGATAATACAGCTTACTGTACTGCTAAAAGATTTAAAGATCTTTCTGAACGGCTATGCAAGCAAGCAAGCAATCCCGGCATCTAGCTCTCCCAGGTGGGCTGTGACATAGCCTTTGAGCTGAACCTCGCCCTCCCTGGGCCTTCCTTTCCTTGCAGGCATCTGCATTGCTGTTTCGTGAGCAGTCGGTATGCTAATCTGGGCATCGTTGTAGTAGTGGAGAAATGGAAGGTGGGAGATCTGCCGGGAGAGGTGGAATTCTGGATAAGACCACTTATCATCACTTCAGGTTACTGAGCCAAAAATAAATGATAAGTCCATGAGACATCTGGGACTAATAAGAACCATCCTGCTATTGCTGCCGTTCCTTCTGTTAGGACTTGTGTGCAGCACAGGCTCATTTTCAGGTGATAGTGCCTAGAGCTTGCACTATGAGCTATATTGTAATTAAAACACATTTTAATTTCTCAATTGGTGTTGGACATTAAAGAACATCGATACACAGAAACTGTCCTTCATCAAGAGCTTCTATTAAGAGGCCCTGCCTATGGTGAGGGGTCAGGGAAGTGAACCCACCGGGAGGCAGTGGCCACAGGTTATGGAACAGGTTGCGGATTCAGTCTGCCTGCATGCATTTCCTCCTGAGTGAACGTGGACAAGTCCCTTAATCCACCCAAGTCTCAGCATCTTGTCTTTAAAATGACGGTAAGAACAGTACTCACCTCCTAGAGTTGTTCAAGGTTGAAGACCTGTGTGAGCCCTCAGTGTTTACCTGAGCACCTCCTAGCTCACTCTCCAGGGCCCTTCTGGCTTCTTTCTCTTCCTTTCTCGTGCGCACAAGGGCCTCCTCTAGACGTCAGGCACTTATATAGGCAAGGATTAAAGCTTTCTGTAAAGAGCCAGATTCGTAAGTTCGTCGGGCTTCGTGACACCACAGGCCTTGTGGTCTCGGCCACAACTCCTCACTCTGCTGTGGTAGCAGGAAGGCAGCCATCGGCAGCGTGTCCGGGTGTGGTGCTGTTCCAGTAACACCGCATTTTTCACGCAGGTGGTGGGCTGGACCTGGCCTGCTGGCTGCAGTGTGCCAGCCCCCGGTTTACGGAATCAAACCTGTGACCCTTCAGTCCGAGGGCTGAAGCTCTAACAACTGAGGCAAACCAACCAGGGCACGTCATGGTTTCTTAATACATGCCAGCTGTCCTCCGAGCTGGGGACTGCCCCTTGACACTGGTTTCCATGTTTTGCACAGAATGTCGAGGTCCTGGCCAGTCGGAGCGCCTCACAGCAGGCCCAGGTGGATGCTGAGCTGCGCGTGCAGGCCCTGGAGGAGGAGAACGAGCGGCTGCGGGGCAGCCTGGGCGAGCTGGAGCAGAGCGTGGCGCGGCTGCAGAGGCAGGCTGCTGACCTCCAAGGCGACGAGGCCAAAGCCAAGGACACGCTCAGGAAGTACGAGGTGAGGGGGGCTCGCGGCGCTGGGCGGAGGCGGATCCGCCTTCCTGTGTGAGCCGTGTCAGGAGCGGGAAGGGGTGCGTTGCCATCATTTAGTAGGAAAGGTCCAAGCACTCGGGACTGTGTCCTCTCTGCAGGCCATGCTGTTTGTTTCCCCACAAGTGGTTTGAATGGGAGCTGAGCTCCTAGTGAGGCCTGGGAGCAGGGCTGATGAAGGCAGGGTGGGGCACGCCTGGGTAGGCACAGGAACCCTGATCACGCAGACAGCAGACACGCTCAACGTTTGGACACCGAGCAGCGGCCTCCCCATCCCCGAAAAGGCCATCTCAGCAGCACCCTCTGGTCTGTTCTCTCTCGTCACCGTTTATTCTCTGTTAACACACAGTTGACGGTGTTTGAAGTCACAAACCAATTTAACAAACCAGCTCTGGTTTGCCGGGTTTCTGGAGGTGGGGGCTGTTCTAAAGAGACAGGTACTGAGGGCCGCTGACAGTAAAAGAGGGGACAAAAGACATGTAAAGGGGGATGCGCTCCAACAGAGGTTCCCCTAAGGTCAGTCACCTGGAAGCCGTTTCCAAGACTGGGTGCCGGAGTCGGTTCCCTCAGTACCTGCTCCGGGGGCGAGGCTGGATATCGGTGTTTTCCAAAATCCATCCCAGGTGATTCAGGTGTTCACGTCTGGCTGAGCACGGAACTGCAGACAGGCACACGCATCCAGGAGCACGGCTGTTGTGTGCCACCTTGGCCCAGGACACTCGGGCTGGGGCTGTGTCTCCTTCACTCCCCTCCTGCACCGAGCCAGCCGCATAGCCGCAGCACACGTCTGAGCACACCTTGACCCCATGTTTTGTTGTAGGGGGAGATCCGACAGTTAGAGGAGGCCCTCGTGTGTGCAAGAAAGGAAGAAAAGGAAGCCACGGCAGCCAAAAGGGCCCTGCAGAGTGAGCTGGAAGAGGCTCAGGTAAACACGGAGGCTGTCATCTCTATCCCTCACACAGGGAGCCCGAGAAGCAGGGGCGGAGGGATGTGTACAGATTGCCATTGGTCCTCGCCTCCCGGGTAGCTCCTTTGTAGTAACCACTGACCTCAGAGTGTCCACCCAGACCAGCGGGTCTTCCCTGGAGGACATTTGGTGGTGTCTGGAGAAAGTTTTGATTCTCACACGAGGGGAGATACTGCTGGCATCTAGTGGGGAAAGGCCAGGGATGCTGCTGCACATCTTACAGGGCACAGGACAGCCCCACAGCAATGAAGGGTCTGGCCCCAAATGTCAGTAGTACCAGGGTTGAAAAATCCTGCCCAGCGGGCATGGCTCAACCTATGAACCGGGAGGTCCACCTATGAACCGGGAGGTCCACCTATGAACCGGGAGGTCCTGGTTTGATTCCTGGTCGGGGCACATGCCGGAGTTGTAGGCTCGATCCCTGTGGGGCATGCAAGAGGCAGCCGATCAATGATTCTCTCTGATCTCCCTCTCCCTTCCTCTCTGAAATCAATAAGAATATATTAAAAAAGAAACATGCTGATCTCAACGTTAAAGAGCTTGACAGCTTTCCCGATATAAACGTGACCTGTGAGAAAAGGCGGGCAGGACTGTCCCCCAGGCCCCATGGCGTTGATTGGTTCTCTGGCAGAAGCCAAGTTTCTCTCTCCTCTGGGCAAACAGACTCCAGCGAGTGCAGACCTTGAAGATGGCTTTGGCAGGAGCTGGAGGAAGTCCTTCCCTTGAAACTAAATAGCTATCTCCATCAAAATCAGTAGGTTCTTAGAAAATTAGCTTTTCCCACTGGAAGGTTAGAAAGTTTGATTGAAGTGCGTTCTAAAAAAAAGTCTGCCCTGAAGTTCTAAGTTGACTTTGCACAGTGACCTCCATGTGACCCTGGTGTCTCCCTGCTCTCTCGGTTTAAAGAACCAGCACCAACCATCCCTCAGGCGAGTTCCTGAGAAGGTGAAAGCCCCCGAGAAGGTGAAAGCTGGGTTTTTGAGCAGTTGTCTGGGAGGAGCTTGAGGGCAGGTGGGGGAGGGGCCGTGAGAAGTGGTGAGAGCTGCCCGCAGGCAGCATCCAGCTTTGTAGGCCTCATGGCAGCTTTCCTCTCCTACCCAGTACCCAGCTTTACCCCTTGGGGTGGAGGAGAGGAGCCAGGTACTAGGATTCTCTCAGGTCCCTTAACTCAGTGCCCTCAGCCTTCAGCGGTCTCCACCTTCTTTCTGGCTTTTGACAGAGACCTTGGCTTTATATATAATACAACCCTGTTTGTTTGTTTTTTCCCCTGACTTTGGTGATCTCAAGTGT